ACGAGGCCATACATGTTACTTGCGGGCAGGGGAAAGCTGAATTTAACTTTTCTGGGTAGAACATGGGCAGGGGACATGCCCACAAAATTTCAGCCTTCTAGCTTACGTGGTTCCCGTAATAATTTTACCCGAAAAAACTTTTACGGAATCGTACGTGTTACCTTTGGGTACGGGAAGGCTGAATTTAAATTTGCCGTGTCACACGTTGGCGGGGAACATTATACCAAAATTTCAGCCGCCTAGCTTTTATGGTTCCCGAGTTGAAAGTACTGGACAAAATGTGGGACACACACACAGAAAACCCCGTGACAATATGCGTTTTGTATTGCTGTTATACAGTACAAAACGCATAAAAAAGCGTGATTGCACCGGCAAGCCTGGTGCCTTCCAGCCTGGGTTTTTTGGTGCTGAATATTTCGTTTTCCAGCACAACAAGTGGGGAAAGGAAGAGAAATCTTCGAATCCGTTCAAGAAAGGAGAAGATTTTGATCTTCGCATTCGGGTTCACGATGACAAATTTGAAATTTTCGGAAATCAAAAAGAAATTCACGTCTATAAAACCCGTGTCAACATTGCCGCAGTGGAGTATTTCGCCGTCCGTAAAGACGTACAGTTGAAAGGAGTACACTGGGGCGGACGCTATTACAATTTGCCGTTCGAGACTCAGTTTCCTGGTGGATATCTGAGGGCCGGTGAGTTCCTCCTATACATACTGTCTTAGCTGTTTCAGTTGACTTCATGGCAAATACGATAAAGCGATGATGTGCGTCTTCCTTAAATCTCCCACTGAAACTCAGAAAAAGTTCCGAGTCTGTTTACTCTGAATTCCATCCTGTGCTAGTCTGTTAAATTACTCTGACAGTTCATGAATGTGGAAGCATTAGGAGCCGATAGCTTCCGTCTTAAATAATTTTTAAAAGCAGAGTGCCGACATTCTTGCGGCTGGCAGTTTTTATGAGTGACACTTCTGTCTCTCGATGTACGAAGTAATGCTTTTTCTAATCAGAGTTAGCAACACAGTGGGAATTATTATCTAGAGGTCTAGGACTTTAAAGATTATGGTCGAAGATTTAGGGACGATTTAAGACTTAAGGATGGAATCGATCCAGAACAGAATATTACTTTCACCACGCACTTGTTGTTTAAGCGTTATTTTATTCTTACTGAAAAATGAAGGAGTCGTAAGTGCTATCAGTCCATGTTTGCCAACAATTTGACCGCAGAGATGACAATCTGAATTGCAAAGCATTCTGTTGTTTAAATTTCATCGATCAACAAACCAGTCCCTGCAGCAGCCACGTTTGGCCTTTCAAACATTACAGCTGAATGACATTACAGAAAGTAAACTTGACCACCGGAAATTTAAAGCGATAATCACCAGTGCTGCAAAAGGAAGAACCGGCTGGTATGAACAAGGGATAAAGTGGCAGCTGATCCTCTTCTTGCCCAATTTTCCTTGGCTCCCTGTGGTATGCAAATGCCCCGCTTTGTGATTTTAGTTTCCCTTTTGTAGTAAAAAATCATATGAGTAGATGTGATAAGTCAGGCCCCCTTTTACTACACGTTCTGCAGGGTGACAGCTTGATGCTGCTGCCGGCTGAATTCCACGACACCCTTATCGTCTCTATCCCTTTGTGTTTTTTTTTGTAGAGTATTGTTTGTTTAGGTGTGAGGTCTGTTCACATACACACATACGCCCAACTAAATGAGCGTTGCATCGGAATAATGCATCCCTGCTTGAAAAGGGGGCAAAACTTGATGGTATTTAGGAAAGCCCTGAAGAGACTACTTATTCTCGCGCTGTTCACTTTTCGGGGCAATTTTTGCGAAATGCAAGCATGCTTTGAGTTTAAACTGTGTCACATATTTTGGCGAATATTTTTAAATTTTTGTTTGCTCAGAATCGACATCCGTTATGGAGTTAAATATACCTAGGTATCAGCTCGTTCGATCATTTTTCTTTTTTTAGAAGAACGAGTCTACGTCTATGGTATCCCGAAGGGTGATCGTTTCGAAATCAATTTCTTGGCACAAAATGGTGATATCCTTTTCCACTTCAACCCGCGATTTAAAGAAAAGAAGGTCCTTTTCTTTTCTGCCACAGCGAGTACTTGCTGCGCTGTATTTAGCATATTTGATGAGTTTGTGAATGTTGAGCTCTTGTGCGTTAAAAAAACGCTAAAATCGTCCGCGCAAAGTGAGCTAGTTCGTGTAAAATTTAGCAGGCGAGATAAAAGCAAGTTTAAGTTAATGCGAAATTTAGCCGAATGGGTGCAAATTTTGTGGAAACGTTAGCTGCATTCGTAAGATTTGAGTACAATTAAGCAAAATTTTACCGAATTGGATTAAAATAGGTAATGCTGGATTGCATTTAAGACGAAAAGTACACCTAGTAGTACTAAGATTCCTTGATCAAAGAACAACAAAATCTAAGACTGATTTCAAGTTACAGACCTTACATTACGTAGGAATTATCAAAATTTCAAGTTTTTTATTTCCTGTATCGGAAATTATAAAAAATTAGTTCGAATTTGAGCATAACTGCATAATTTGAGATACACTGAGTTACCACAGAACAGTTTGTCTTGAATTATTTGATGAATTAATATTTCAGAACTTTTGGCTTCTGTCTTTGCTTTCTTATCAATTTATAGAATTGCACCTCATCTGGACGTGAGAGTGTAAATCGGGAATCAGTGAAAGACCCGCATTAAATATGATCTCTCGTTGTTATTTTTTCAAAACCGCAGATTTATAGCTTTCGCTAGACACCGTCATATTGTGTTTTCATTTCCGGAAATACAAAAGCGCATTAAAAAAATACGTCACAGTTTTGTCTACAGTCAAATTCTAATTTAACTGCCAGAAGCAATATTTTAAAGAATGAACTTATAGTG